TGCCGCACGGTTCCCTGGACTGGGGGAGTGGGGAGCTGCCGTGGGGTGGGTACTTCAGGACGGGGGGGATGCCTCACGGTGGAGGGGGGGGCAGGGAGCTGCCGCAGGGCTGGGGGAGGAGGTGCAAAGTAGAAGTTTCGCCTAGGGCGCGAAACTTCCTTGCACCGGCCCTGATGGAGCCTCTGGGTGCTACCATCATATCAGTATTTCAAACCACAATTACTGCCACTAGACCTGCTAAGCAAACCTTGTCTTTGGCTTTAACTGCCTTTCTCTCTGCTCTTAATAAACCTGGTTTGTATTAGATTACTCCTGCCCGGGTGATTTCATGCAGACCTCCCCCCAGAGAAGAAGGCTCCATGGTCCATGACGAGGACTTCTAGGCACTCGAATAATACAATTAAATAATCATGATCACTAAGGGCAGGTTCTGAAGGATAAAGCCGGTCTGGAACCTCCATCCCCAAGGGGCATGGCCAGAGGGGTCCTGTCGCCAGGGACCAAGGCCGAGTACCAAGCAGGAGCCTAGCGCTGGCGGGAGCGGTGTGCAGGTAAACAAGGCATAAGTATTTCCAGCCTCCCTCATCCCGCCGTTCAAAGGCGCCACGGCAGGGTTTGTGAAGATTACAGATTTGCCTCAGCACTATTGCCTTTGTGCCTTCCTTAAACATTATGATGAAGGGCTGCAGTTTAATAGCTTGTCCGAGTGTTTGCTCTCGATGTTTGCAAAGCAACCCGTATCAGAGGCACAAGCAGATAGAGACGTGTATGGGAAACAGAACAGTGCACACATCACCTCGACAGAGTGGCCGCTTCTTGTTTATTGACTGGTAGATTTTTTTTATACACGTGTGTGTGCGCGGGCACGTGTGCGCATGTCTTTGCATATGCCTATGTGTGAGCGTGCCCCTGTGTGCGTGTGTGGTGTATACAGCTCTCATTGGGGCCAGCTTTTCCAAAAAAACTCAGGACACTGGGTGTTGAGCTCTGTTAAAAACTGGGCGCTCTGGGAGCTGCCGAGAACTGACTGCTGCTGGAAATTTGGCCCCAAGGTTCCTGTATTTGGTGACACGTGTGTATGTGTGTGTGTGTGGCTGCATGAATGTGTGTATCTGTGTGCTTGCCTATGAGTGCGTATAAGTGTGACTTTGTATATCTGCACTAGTGTGTGTGTCTCTTTCAGGGTGTGAATGTGGATGGGTGTACACGAGTGAGTCTAAGCGTGCTCAGGGGGTGTATGTGCATTGACTTCCCAAGAAGGTATGTTTGTATGATCATGGACACATCCACAGGCGCAGACTTTCCAATGTGCCGGGGGTGTGTGTGTGTGTGCTCAACCCCGGCTCTGCCCCAGGCCCTGCCTCCACTCCACCCCTTCCCCCAAGTCCCCACCCTGCCTCTTCCCACCCCCTCCCCAAAACATGCTGAAGCCTCTCTCCTGCCCCCTCCCTCCCCAGAGCCTCCTGCACGCCGCGAAACAGCTGATCACGACGGATGGGAGGCGCGGGGAAGGAGGTGGAGGAGCTGATCGGTGGGGCCCACCGGCAGGCAGGACGCATGGGGGGAGGGAGCAGGGGCTGATAGGGGGCACTGCCGGTGGGTGCTCAGCACCCATTTTTTCCCCATGGGTGCTCCAGCCCCGGAGCGTGCACGGAGTCAGTGCCTATGGACATGCCGTACTTCTCCTTACCTGGTTTTACCTTGGTCTGAGATCTTCCTCTATACGTTTGCTGCTACAGAAAGCCAGCAGCCAGCGGTGCTGCTGCACCCGTCACTACAAGGTACTTTTGGAAGTGTTCTTAGTCCCATAATGGGCCTGCTGGGCATTTCAGCGCTGTTGTATGTAAATATTACTCACATTGTGACTGTGCTGACGGACTGTACAAATGTCAAGTACATAGCTGCCTCCTCACCTGTTTATTCCTTAATTCCTGCGCATGTATAGATTAGATGGTAAATGAGCAGGCCTCGTGCCTTCTCCTAACAGACATGACAATATTCTGCAACCTCCTGGACAAACTCAAAATTGTTGAATTCAGTGTAAGTATTTTAGGAGTCCGTTGTCTGAGAAAAGCAAGTGTTTCTGTACTCTTGAGGGGTTGTATGGAACCCCATGGAGGAGGGGGAACCGCAGCCCTCCAGGAATGAAGAACAGTGGGCAGTTGTTAAGACAATCCACTCTGGTCCTATCAACTCCAGAGAGCTCTCACCGCCTGGAAAAGGGCTCACACCTACTGGTTCAAACTGGGTTTTCCAGGAACCAACAGACAAAGAAAGGACTTCTGGTTAAATAGCCTGAGTTACTACTGACTTGGGGCCTGCGTTCTGATCCAGCAAACAGAGGAGGGGAAAGGTTGGCAGGCCTTTGGCCCATTGAGTTCCCATAACATTCAGCAGCTTTGATGAACTTGTGACCACAGGAAGAACCCCTTGAAAGACTAATCACCAACCAGAGCCCTTACTGGAGTTGGGGGTGATCTCTGGTAAGCTTTTTAGCATGTACAAAGGTTCTTTTGTTGTTTTTAATGGTTTCCTGTAATGCTTTTACCTACAGAACAAACGTGCTTGCTTAGAAACAGCTGTGCAGTTAGGTAACTGTACCCAGGGCCGACGAAAGGGGGGGGAAGCCAGTACAAATTACCGGGGTCCGGCGGTCCGGAAGGGGGCCCAGGACCCGGCTTCCTTGGCTCCCCCCCCCCCCCCCGTTGCCTTACCAGGGCCCGGCTTCCCCGCCCTCTCGTCGGCCCTGTCCGCCCTTGCTGGGGGGCCCGAAAAAATTTTTTCACCAGGGTCCGAACCACCTCTCAGCGGCCCTGACTGTACCGTCTCTGAGGAGAGAAGCTAAGCAGGCCTGCTTAGGCAGTCTGGCTTGCTGGAGATATCACACTATAGTCAGGGGACTGTGCAGCCTGGAAATATCCCAGTCAGGAGGAAGAGAGATGCGGGTCTCCACCCAAGAGAGGTGACGGCTGAGGAACCAGGAGCCTAGAGTGGGTGCCCTTGCTGGGCCATAAAGGGGGAATACAAGTACAGGTGCCCTGAACTGTGACACCGTCCTCTCACTGTTTTTATTTATAGGCTTCTTCCATGATCCAGTCTCCTGAATGCCTCACACACATTAAATAGTTTTACAACATCCTATGCCAGATAAGGCACTATTATTATCCCCATTTTACAGCTGGGGAAGCGGAGGCAGTCCCAGAGAGATTAAGTGATTGCCCAAGGTCACACAGGGAGTCAGTGGCAGAGTTGGGAAAAAAGCCCAGATTGCCCAGCCAGTGCCTTAGCATACAACCTTCCTCTCCCTCCTCTTCATACAGTGCTGAGTGCCCCGTGGGCACGCCCTAAACACTAAAGGAATGGAAGGATCAAAAGTTGATGACATGGGCCTGCTGAATGGAACAGTTGCAGTTCTGCACGTCAGAGAGGTCAGCAGCGCACTGATGGTCTTTGGGGTGGGTTGTGTGGCTGGGCAGAGAGGGTGGGAGGATGCTGGTTATGGCAGCCACTGCCTGGTTAGAGTTTCCAGAAGAAGGGAGCAGGGTGCATCAGGCGGGAAGGGGGCTAGGAGGCCCATGCGGCGGGTATGTCTACACTACAGAAATTACAGGGGCACAGCTCGGGGGCTGTAGTGTAGATACTTGCTAGGAGAGGGTTTCCCCTTGCTGTCCTGAATCCACCCCCTCTCCAGGCAGGATCTAAGTGGATGGAAACCTTCCACGCACAGAGAGGTGGCTACGCTGGGGCCTAGGTCAGCTGAATGGCCTCACCGGGGTGGCAACTGGTCACAGCCCTGAGCCAGGTAACTAGGCTCAGGGCCGGCTTTAGGCCAATTCCACCAATTCCCCCGAATCGGGCCCCGCGCTTAAGAGGGCCCCGCGCCCAGTGGCAGGGTTGCCCAGAATGGGGGGCAAGTGGCAGAGAATCCCTTCCCTGGCTAGAGGCACCTTTTAAATTTTTACTCACCCGGCGGCGCTCCAGGTCTTTGGCAGCGGATCCTTCACTCGCTCAGGGTCTTTGGCAGCACTTTGGCGGCGGGTCCTTCAGTGCCGCCGAAGACCCAGAGCGAGTGCAGGACCCGCTGCCAAAGACTAGGAGCGCGGCCCACTGAGTAAAAGCCCCACGTGTTTTTTTAACGTGCTTTTTTTTTTTTAAGTCATCCCTGTCAGGGCCCCTTCGAAACTGTTCAAATCGGGCTTCCTAAAGCCGGCCCTGACTAGGCTGACCTAAGTGGTAGGTTTAGAGCAGGCCTGGGTGGGCCAGGGACTGTTGCTGGCTCTTTCTGCTCATCCCACGGTCTTCTCTGGCCTGCTAGAAGCTCCCCGCTTCCAGATAAAGGGCAGAGGCTCCCGCTCTGCCCGGCGAGGGAAACAGGATGGGGCTGTCGGAGCCTTTCCCCAAGCGGGGCTGCGGGGAGCCCCTCTCCTGGGTCCCCCTGACCCTCTAGCAGCGGAGTAAGGGTCCAGGCGAGCAGAGCCAGGGACCCATGGAGCGGGGCTCCCCCAGAGGAGCCGCTCAGGAGCCGGCTAGTGCCCGCTGCTCCCCCGGCTCGGGGCTGCCCTGGGTGCCCAGCTGCAGGGAGCCCCGACGGGCTGGGGCCAGCGAGCGGGGCATGTCCCGGCGCTCCCAGGCGGGACCTGCCTGGGCGGGGCGGGGCGGCAGGTGAGCAGCCGCCCCCGGGAACACCCGGCTCCCGCCCCGCCCCGCCGGTTTAAAGAGCCGCGGGAGCCCCCCCAGCCGCCGGCTGCGTAGCGCCATGAAGAGCAGCGCCCAGCCGGCACCATGCGCTCCCGGACCCTGCTGGCCGCCCTGTGCCTCTGGCTGCTGCCCGTCTCCGCCGCCTACTTCGGGTCAGCCCTGCCCGCGGTCCCGTCCCGCGCCCTGCGCCCGCGGTGGGGGCTGGCTCCCTGGGTGGGCCGGGCCGGGGTGGGTGCGCTCCGCGGGGCTCCGGCGGGTAGGTGGCACCGCCGCGCAGCCTGGGGCTCCAGAGAGTTCCCGGCTGGGCTAACAGTAGCCGAGCCGCTGCCGGGACGGGCTGGGCTGGGCTGGGTTTGGGGGAGGCAGCCGGCGGGGCTCTGGGGTGCCCCTTCCCCCAGCTTGTCAGCTCCCTGAGCGGAGCCTGGCCGCCTGTGTCTGGTCAGCGCCGAGCACCGGGCAGCCCCCAGTGCCTCCCGCTGAACTGTTCAGTGATAATTCCTGGGCTCGACTGGTGTCTGTCGCTGTGGGAAACGCTCCTGCGGTGCGAAGCGGTGACAGTTCCTTGGTGGTGCGGTTAAATCCAGGAACAGGCGTCCAAGGGGTCTGGGTCTCTTCTCGCTCTTTCCTTGGGGATGGGGAGGCTGTTGGCGGGGTGGGGAGGAATTTGTCTCCGTGGGGAAGGCAAAGGCTGTTGCCTGGGGCTCTAGCAAAGGAAAGAGTGAAAGGAAAATTGTTGTATGTTGTGGTTTTTCTTCTGAAATCCCTTGTTCAGGGCTGGGTGTTTAAAAGGGGTCTGAATCCTTGTGGCTGTTGAAATCCAAAAGGCAGCAGTTCAGACCTCTCCTCTGCCCGGATGGACAAAGTGTCCCCAAAGCAGTGTCAGGTTCTTAACTAAGGCCGCGGAGAGAAAGTGGAGGGAATCCGGATGCCCTTGACCTCTGACTTTGCTGGCGGGTGACACCCATGGAGGTTTGTCTAGTCTGAGTAGGGGTGACCATAGCGGGCGGCTGGCTTTGGAGATGGGAGACAGGGAAATGCAAAGGGAATGGCTGTCTCAGCCCAAGTCACGCTATCCGGGACAATATCAGAGCTGTATGTGTATGTCAGGCCCTGAGCTGAGCATCCCAAACCACCCGCCCCCCCCGCACAAATAAAGACTTTTTTTACATGTTGATTTTTAAAGATGTCTATGTTCGTTTTGGAAGGCGTTAGAAAAATAGAGTTTCTCCAATAGAAAAAAGTGGATTATTTTTTTTAATTTGCTCTGCTTGGTTCTGGGAAAACCCTTTACAAATTACTTTGTCAATAAGATATTCCTTTCTATGGCCTTGATCCTGCAAAAACCTATGCCTATTGCCTCTGAGCAGTCCTACTGACTTCAGTAGGGCTGCCTACAGTGTATCTAGTTACTTATGTGCAGGAGTCTTTGCAAAATCTTTTATTTGTGGGTAGGAGATTCCAATGTATACATGTCTATTGTCTTACAGTACGTAGCGCTCTTAGTGCATGTGGTTGCATTATAAATGTTTGAGAGATGCAGGAAGATGAATACATTTGAACACTGCGATAACTGTCCATAAAATCCTGAACCAGATCATCAGCTGGTGAAGTCAAGGTAGCTCTATTGAAGTCAATGGAGCGACTCTGACTTGCACCGGCTGCAGATGTGGTTCTCATTTAACACTTCAAAGAAAGAATTGTAGCCAAATCAGTGTTTTAAGAGTTTAAAGGATTCCTTAAATCAGATGGATTTTTAAGTTTATATTTCTGTTTAAAGATGTGATCTACATGATTGTTTCACTTTGCTCCTTTATTGTCAACAAAGGGAATATCCCATATATACTAGCACTTGGAGATTGAAAACACATCTAAGCACACGCCTTGTACAGAGCTAGGAAGGGGTAGCTGCTGCTTGGATTTCTAGTTACAGGAAGTAGGTATTGCCAATTATACAAAGCAAAATTAAATATTCTCCTATTTCCTTAACACAAAACAAATATTGAATATTACTCTAGGTGGATTCAATTGTTTAAGCAACATGAATGATCCCTGATCTCTTAACAATGATTCTTTGGTTAGTGGAATGCCTTTCTAACCTGCCTTGTATTTCCCTGAAATGAAAAATCAGGGGTTGATATTAGCCATTCTCTCTGTTCCGTGTGTTTCAGAGTTTCAGGCTGGAATTTTCCTGCTTTGTTACATTTTGTCCTTGAGGCATAAGCTTTTTTTTCAGTGGCACGTGCTGTGCAAGAGTTCTTGCTCCTTAACTTTCAGTATTTAATTGAAAAGAGAACTTTAAAAAGAATAAAAATAAATTGAAGCCTAAGTAACAACTGCATTGTTTTGGGCAGTTGAAGAAAGCAATAATTCATAAGAATGGGATGATATTTCCGGGTGCTGGTTGGGAAAATGGTTCATTAGGGAACTGTAATATTTTAGTGGTATAGGCAGGAAATACAATCTAATCTGCAAGGTGGGTATTTAATGGGTGGGGATGGGGGGGGGGTCTCCCTGAATAGGGATGGACTTAAGCAGTGTGGTAGCAGGGTGGGAAATTTGTTCCTGCACTTTTGACCTCACGCACTGTATGTGCGAGGTCATGCCTCATGGAGGATGCCATTTTAAACAGAAATGCTCCGTGAGAGGGCCATGGCGGGTGGAGTACTGACACTTAAAATTAGGACTACATCCATGCTTAAATGATTTGTTGAATTGGTGGCTTGGAAAAGGATAATGCAGAGAGAGACCTGATGAACAGCAAATGAGGCGTTTGCACAGTGACGCTTCATTGAAAAGGGCCCTTGTTGCTTTGGACTGCATACCAAGAAGCCTCCAGTCCGAAAGCCGTGTTAGGCCAGGTCTACATTACAAACTTACATCAGTGTAACTACGTCACTCACCACACCTCCCGCGATGCAGTTCTACTGACCTAACCCCCGGTGGAGCCAGCGCTGCGTTGGCCAGCCAGCGTCTCCCATCAACCTAGCTCCCACCTCTCTCCGAGGTGGATTCGCTACGCTGACGGGAGAAGCTCGCCTGGCGGTGCAGGAGCATCCTCACTAAAGCGCTACAGCGGCGCAGCTGTAGCAGTGTATGTGTAGACAAATACTTGGAGGAGCTCTCTAGTGTTGAGATGACTGCACCTCTAATGCCATGTCTGGTTCTGGCTCTGTCAATATCAGAGTGATGGAAGGTGTTCTTCAGACAAGCACAAAAATGACTAAGACTAGGGGAAGATGATGATTGTCTACTAGTATTAGGGTGGCCAGGTGCTCTTTGAAAATCATGCGGGTTGGGTCTACTGGTGTGGAGCAGTTTGCAGGACTGGGGCCAGAGAATAATAAACTCAGACTTGCATTTAACAAAGGAAAGAGGAGTGCATATGTAGTGTGGCTAAGCGAACACTCCTATTGCATGTTGGAATTTTCTGACTCATTAAATACCTGATCTTGCAACCTTAATTATACATTAGTGCTAGTTTTTTGCATTTAATTTCCTAGAGCTTGTAGGAAAAGAGAACGAGCTGTGGGGCACAAAATGTGGCAATCAGAAACGGGTGCAGGGCATCTGTGGGAACATGACTTTTGCTCAGTTGCCCCCACTTTCCCGAAGCCTGAACGCTACCCCCTGACCACACGGTGGCCATTAGTTCCTCCAGCAGCACCCCTGTTTTCCCCCAATATGTGCAGCATGCACTTTACAGCCCTCTCCTTGCCCTTGCATCCACACCCCCTTCCTCTGCGACAGCTGCCCTCCTCAGGTGCTTCTTCCCTTCCCCTGCCTCCCCCCTTCAGCCACTGCTCCTTCCCTTCTACGCTGTGCCCCCGAGACCCCGTCTCCCATGACTGCTGCATGGGTGGGATGCTGGTGCTGAGGTATAGCTCTTCTGGTCCTGGCTGGTGAGGGCCCTCAGACACCCAGCTCCCCCTTTGGCACACACTCAACAGCACTAGGTGCAGGAGGTACTGGGATGCTGAACTCCCTCCAGGGCTAAGAGGGCGGTGGCAGGGAGGATCTGAAGGGCCCACTTGAGCCAGGACTTGCTCACCAGGCAGTGGCCAGGGGAAGGAACCCCAGAACAGCTGGGTTGGAGGAGGGGCTCGGAGATGATGGATGGGTTGATAATTGGATGTGTGAGGGGGGGTCTCAGTTCCTTTTGGAAGGGGAGAGAGGGGGGTGAGAACTGAACTGACGCCATATCCCCATGAGGAGGGAGTGGTTTGGAATTCTGTTGAAGTGGGGGCAGGGTACTGAGGCTTGACTTTGGGAGGGAGCAGAATTGTGGCAACGAGTGGACGGAGCAGGGGAGTACAGATTGAACTGATGGGGAGAACGGGGGAGTATAGATCAGAGAATGGGTAGGGAGGTGTAATGGTCTGTGTGTGGTCAGAGATTGAGGGGCAGGGGACTGGGGAGGATTGCAAAAGGGGGCTGGGGAAAGTGGTGAGTGGGTGCTTAGGAAGCAGTTTGCACATGGGGGGGCTGTGAGGGGAAGGAGGAGGATCTGGAGGAAGGGAAGGGAATGGGGGAGTGATAATGAGGAGGAGAGCAGTGGGGTGGGTATGTTTGTAGATCTGTCACTCTCTGGAAGTACAGGCAGGTATTTGGGGCCTTGTGTGTGCTCTGTGTTGGTAATTCAATATAATTTGCCAGTGGCAAGTTACTCTGCTGTGGAATTCCAGAGAAACACCGACTGGAATTGCTGCTTTGAAACACTTCACAATCTCCTGAAATGTGGGAATTGCACCTGGCGCTCCAGAATGTCCTGCAGCACGGGCCCCTGGGCCTCTGCCCTCTCACTCCCCACTTAATGTTTTTGGGGTGACTCTGCAGTTTTCTGAAAGCTTCCCCTTTTTGTCTGGCTTGTTCCAGACTAACTCACAAATAGGAGTAGTTGAAAGCATGTGGGGTCTCTTTTCTCCATGCCATGCATTATTCAGATGCAGGCTACAATCACTACTGTGCAAGGAGCAATTGGCTTTTTTAGCCTCCGTATTCATCTTGATGATCAAAATTTCCAGTGCCTCTCGGCATCCAGTAATTCTGCAGTGAATGGGCCACTGCAAATGCAGACTATTGGCCAGTTTGTCTATCTTGCCCCTCACGTATGCATCGAGAGAGGTTACAGAGAAGCGCTGAAGCAGCTCCTAAG